ACCCCTAAAAGAAACGTGTTAGAAATATAAAGCATTTATCATTTTTACATAGCTTCTGAGATTGAAAATTTAGCAATCATGTTAGTACCCGAAATTAAGCATCTCTATAGCAAAAAAAGGGTGCTTAATTTCGGAGGCATACGGTAATAAAAATGAAGGGCTCCAACGTATGATGTATCAAAAATTTTGCATATTACACAACATTTAAGAAATCACGTTCTTTCACATTCAATATATAAGAAAATTACAAGCGAATATTATCAAACTTTAATTTTATTTTTTAAATTTTATAAGTTTTATTGTATTAGGTCAAATATTCTTGCAGTCGATCACGGAGTCGATCTCTCGTCCGATCTCATTTTCATTATTTATATTTATAATAAGTATTTTAAGACAGAAAATTTTGTTTATTTCGTTCAATATATTCAAATCCATTATTAAAAAAAGAAGCAATGTAAGTCAAATATTCATTACATTGTCACATGGAATATATATGTATACTGATGATTAACAAGATCGAACGCACATTTTTATTAGATGGTTTGAACTCACGGTCACAATGGTAGGAATTTTTTTGATCTAAACATAGATAATATCTAAAGGACAGTAAATCCAATTGTTAGTGTTATATACTATTATCAAGTAGATGGCAAATCATTGTACATCGGATAGTTGACGAATTTTTGTAATCTGCTATATTTATATTCTAACAGTTACATCATTTTGACAGTAATCAATGCTCGTATATTTAATTTCATGAAGCTATTACAGTTCGACAATTTTTTTATAATTATAATTATAAAAACTTCTGCGTCACAATTAAAATTTTGAAAGTGAAGGCAATATTAGCTTTTTAAAAATAAAATAAATAACAAATTAAAAACAAAATACAATAATAATAATAATAATAAAAGAAAATAAAAAAAAAAATTTCGAAGATCCACAATTATTAAATTTTTTTTTATTTTTCCCTTTTTTACTCGTAAGAATAAACTTAGAATAAAATGATATTTTTCCTAAAGTAATTTATAAGAGACGATCACTATCGAGTGCATTGCTTTGTAAAATTTAAAACCATTTTATTTCTTTTTTAAAACCTTTATTTTTTAATTATTAATTTTTAATCAATAATCATGAAGCAAATTTCTTCGATTATTACAATCAAAAAGGAACTCTGACTAACCATCTCCATGAAGCAAAATTTTTTGCTTGGTACTCATTCTATTTGCTATACTTTCCATTGTCAATGCTATTCTACATCAATTAATAAAGATGTTGGTTTTCTGTAGCTTGTCCTGATTATCTTAATGTTCCGGTTCTCGATACAATGTTTATAACACGAGGAATCAATAGTCTTTATCGAATCATATATCAAACTCGTTACTATATATTTTCTTCAATTGTGATGGTTATGATCCTGTTACAAAAGTATATTTGAAGTCGGTGTCCAATTCCAGCTGAGCTAAATTTACTTCGAAATTTTCAATTCTAGATATTATAATTTGTGTTATGAATGGCGAGATGCTTTATAATCCGTGTAACATTGGGTGTGCGGTCAAAATATGGACCTATAGTAAAATTTACTATTGAAGATTTTGTGAAACTTACATGCCGAACTTAAATAACTTCAGTTTAAGTTAGCATTCAGACAAATTTAATGAATACATTATACCCTAAGATACTATATGACACCTCGCTTTCTTAAAAAATAACAAAGAAAAAATTATATATTTATAGAGCTGTGAACAAAAAGATTTATTTATTATTATTTCTTGATATTTTTTTTTGGAAAAAACGAGCTGTTACATGAAAGAGACAATAATTTATAAAGTTTTTGTAAAATTTGGAGCGAAAATATTGGAAGTTATTAAAGTATAAAAATGTATCGAAAATTATTATAAAGAAATTTAAACTATCGGAATTAAAATCTTTAATAGAAATATTACTACTATAGGACCAGATATAGTTTTAGTTAATATATGTTGACAGCACAACTCAGTGTAACGTTGATTGTAATCGCCAAATTTATATAATCAATTTTTTTTCGTGATGTCTCTCTTTTTTTTTAAAAAAAAAATAAATTTGTTTGATACAAAATTTATTCTAATATACCAATTATTCGCAATTGATAACTAATTTTTCTACAAGTTTGAATTTTACATTTAATTACGATTCTAAAAAGAAATGTAAACTTTCTTTTTTCTCTTTTAAAAAAAAAATCTTACTAAATATAATTTCCAAATATAATTGCATTAGAAGGATGTTTTCGTGTAAATAAAATTATCTCAGTTTAAGAATGTTACAAAATGAATTTTTATAATTAAACATCTAAGATTAAAACTCAAAAAATCCGGAAATTTTCAAAACAAGTATTTGAGCGATAAATAATTTTACTTGAATAGTTGAAATATGGAAGAAGAAAAACAAGACATATAAAAAGTGACTGAATAAAAAAGAATTATTTTAAATATAATTGAACGGCATTCGCATCCAATATTTGGCGCGGCAGTAATAAAAAATCAAAAAAAAATTTTTTTAAGAGATAATTATCTAACCAAAAACAAAACCAGTTTGAATTTAGTTCCAAAATACCTCAAATTATTGCCACAGAAAGGTAAGTAATATCCTAGCGGATTTGGTAAAACATTATTTTTGTTTTCTATCAACAAGTTCTGGAGCAGTAAATATAATAAATTAATGACGAAAAAAAATTCTTATGCGGGGTGCAACTGAAAATATTGCCTAAAAAAGATTATAAAATTTACATTTATCAAGTAGCTAAAAATAAAATGCTGCACTTACACAAATTGATGACGCAGTATAAGCTTTATATGAAGCAAATTTTTTCTACGGAAATGGCTGAATAATTAGCGATTATTTTTTATAAGAAGCGTCACATACTACAGTAAGATCTTCATACCCATCTATATACATGTAAACCATTACGTTCTGTTATCGTTACACTAAATACACCCCCAACAAAAGTCTCAAGGGAGCCACTCATAATCGTTCGTACTTATCAGACAACTAGAGATGAAATTAGCCGGGGACTGCATTACAATGTACAAAATATCAATTATTTAAAGACTTCTTATTTTAAAAAGCAAATTTCAAGAAATGTGATAAAATCGCTATGCCAAAAAATGTGTCTCGTAATTTTATCTTCATAATGCGATATCTTTGACAATTTGTTGTCTTTAAAATATAAAGTTTTAATTTTAATAATATAATTATTATATATATAAATATAGTTTAGTATATATTTACTAGGAAACGAAAACCGTTGTGAATCCGGAGCGAAATTTATATATGTATTTTAAGAATTTACAATTGGTAAATGAAATAACAAAATATTTATTAATTAAGGTATATACTATTTAATCAGCCGATTGGACAATTTTGACCATTCGATTCTTAATAAATGTTAATAAATGTTAATTAATTGTATTATATGTTTTAGAGGCGTTGCGTTGTGACAAACAAACAGAAATCTCACGTGACATATCAATTTTCACACTAATTACCCTATAATATTATATATTTATAAATTGATTAAATAAAAATTTTAATTTTCATGAGAATTTATACAAAACCCTATAATTTAAGGGATAATGTGCTAAATATTTAAGAAAACAAATTAATAGAAAAATTTAAAAATTTTATACTTAAATTAATTAAATAATATAATTTCTAACAAGTAAATTTTATTTAAATATGGCTGATTATAAAAATTACGTCTTAAATCATATGATATACATTATTCAATATTATTTATAAATTGTTTATATCTTTTTATTATTCTTATTTTTTTTTTTTAGAAAGTTTTGTTGTAAAAATAAAATTGATTAGAAAATATAGAATTAAAATAATGGTACAAAGTTTATGAAATTTTTGATAGATATATACTATCAAAAAGTTTTATTATATGAAAATGTTTAAAGTTATTATATTTTCTAAATGATTCATAAGATTTTAATATAAAAGTTATGATTATTTGAATTAGCTATAGTCAATTTATACTTTTAAATATCGAATGAGTCTTGATATAGTATAGATGAGTCATACTTATCAGATAATTTACTTATAAATGCTTCACCAATTTTAGGATAACCTATATTACTTTCGATAATTTTTTTAATCTTCTTACAATTTGACAAATCCAAAGAATCTAATTTATTATTATAGCATGAAAATCGTTCTAAAGAGCTAGGCAAAATTGGTAAATAGTAGATATGTGTGTTATGACAGTAGAGTTTCATTAAGGAATTAGGTAAAGTTGGTAGGATAGTTATTGGAGTATTAGAGCAATTAAATTCCATTAGAAAGTTGGGTAAAGTTGGTAGGATAGTTATTTGTGTATCAGAGCAATTAAGTTCCTTTAAAGAGTTGGGTAGAGTTGGTAAGCTATTTAAATTAGTTTTGTAACAATAGAGTTTAATTAAGGAGTTAGGCAAAGTTGGTAAGCTTGTTATTTTAGTATTATAACACCAGAGTGTTATTAAAGAGTTGGGTAGAGTTGTTAAACTAGTTATTTGAGTATTATAGCAATAAATATCCATTAAGGACTTAGGTAAAGTTGGTAGGATATTTATTGGAGTATTATAGCAACAAATTTCCGTTAAGGAGTTGGGTAGAGTTGGTAATCTGGTTATTTTAGTATTATAGCAATAGAGTTTGATTAATGAGTTAGGTAAAGATGGTAGGATAGTTATTGGAGCATTAGAACAATTTAGCACCGTCAAGGAGTTCGGTAGAGTTGGTAATCTGGTTATTTTAGTATTATCACATCGGAGAATTGATAAGGAGTTAGATAAAGTTGGTAAGCTAGTTATAGGAGTATTGTTGCAATAGAGTTTTGTTAAGGAGATATGTAAAGTCGGTAAGATAGTTATTTGTGTATTAGAGCAATTAAGCACCGTCAAGGAATTGGGTAGAGTTGGCAAACTGGTTATATGAGTATTGTTGCAATAGAGTTCCATTAAGAAGTTAGGTAATGTTGGTAGGCTAGTTATTTGAGAATTGTTAAAATAGAGTTTTGTCAATTTTCGATATCTTTGCAATCCACCTAAAGTGTTAAATATGTCATCCTTATTAGTATCTGTAATAGTTAAACTATCAATTGTGTCATCATAAATGATTGATTCAAATTTACAGATCCTTTCTTTCAATTCATTAATAATTTCTTGATTGGCTTTGGTTACTTCTTCTTGTTTTCTAACCTTTTCTTCTAAATTACTAATAGCTTCTTGTTTGGCTTTGGTCTCTCCTTCTCGTTCTCTAATCTTTTCTTCTAAATAGTTGAATTGAGAACGAAACCCTTCATTGCTTTGCTCTAATTCCTTAATTCTAGTTTCCAAGTCTCTTAGGGATTTTTCTTGATTGTACTTTAAAACCATTTTGCGATTAAATTGTAAAAAGAAATTATGTTATTTTGTTTGTTTGACAAATTTTTTATTTAAACCTGAAAATTTTTTCAGCCCTCGGTTAAATATTTCCCATTTGTAATGAATTTCCATAAATACTCTAGTTTAACCGGTTAGTACTGGATCATCGGTAACTTTAATAACCAAATAAAGTTACCGTTATTATCACGGTATTCGTTAATAATTTAAAAATCGTTTTCTTTTATGACAAAATGTAGATATAATAAAGTTTAAAAGATCTGAAAAATCGAAGAGTCTATAATTTTTGTATTTTATCCCAGATGATCATCCGGAAACAAATAATTCCTTAAATTTCACTCAGGTTATATATAGCATAGCATCGTTATTTTATTTTTTATTTTTAAACCTATATTGTTAAATTTATTATTTGATCAAATATAATACATGATTATTTAAATAAACAAAGGATATGATATTACAATTTTAATATTGTTAACTCATCACTTTTTTAAAAAAAAATATACCAATTAACTGATTACAAAAAAGTTTGAAATTTAAGGAATCCCCAAAATGATAATCTTGACGCTAGTTTATGACATGTTTATAAATAATATACAAACCCTTTAAATGTCAAGTATAATAATTTTATTAAGCCACAATAATTATTTATTATATATTTTGCAATAAATAAAATGACTGACAATTTGATTGATTCGTTTGGGACGGACGGTACATAACCAAATTCCTCCTCCAGATAAAGCAGTCACTTTACCAATAAACCTCCTTATTGAAGCCCATTCAAAGGTTGCAATAAATCTAGTACACATCTGACAAAATGAAAATACAAAAAAAATAAAATAAAATAAAATAAATAAAAAATAAAATCACACAAATTAAATAAATATATATTTATACCCGTCGTTTATTACTCATTAATTTGCTTGTTGTGTCTAATACAATTAAAATTTTATATTCATTTTTTATGGTTATGTATTGTCTTTTTGAACGCGTAGTATATGGGAATGTTTGCCAGTAAAATCAAGTTATGAGTTATAGTTAATCATATGATCCGTAAAGTGATTCCCACATTCTAAAGAGAATTTCTATATGTACTATGTGAACATAAGGATAACGAATAAAATTTTAAGTATAAAAATTTGATAAATAGCAACTTTTAAATTCATGAGACCTTTGCGAGGAAAAAAATTAACATTTACCAATTATGATTTTCAGGCCGAAATATGTTCATATTTAGCAATTAATTTATGAACATGATCAGTATGCTTCTTCAAAATTTGTATTATTAACTCAAAACAATTTTTACTTGTCTACTTTTCATTAGCTTTTCGCTAATGATCAATCGTCGTACATATCAGTTTACTATATACATTCTAAATTGTGTGAGGATGATCAGCTGCGCCATGATCTTGAACATTTTAGTAAATGACGATGGTTAATTTTTTTGTTTACTTGCGTCACTCTGAGAAAATATATTTTGAGTAAATTCTACAACCCTCTCAAAAATGGCGCAGAATGCACAAACAAAAAATAACGAAAATCTACTGCTGTAAAGAAAAGTTCGTCGATATTAAAAAAATACTTGTCATATATTTAGCCCTATGAAAGTTAAAGAAAGAATAGGCGATTAATAAATAATTTATTATGTAAAAAAAATTTACCTTCTTTTACAAAATATTACGTCCGCGTATGTTTGGTGAACATTTGTAATATTTAATGACGATTTGTGGTTTGCATCATGATTTATTATGGGAACATTCTGAATCTATTCAATTTTCGTTAGCTGAGTGTCGTATTTTTCACTTAATGATACTACACAAGTGAATCGTAATAAATCGTTCGTTTATCGTAATTTCACATAGGTAATGGTTTTGAGATAATTGAGTTATTGATATAATTTGTTTGTTGGCTTGATTTCAGGTCTAACACCGGTACTCAAAAAATAAAAAAAGTCAATTTTCCGCAGTTACATATTACGGGCGCAGCAAGTTAAACTATTATTTTTTTTTTGTTTTCTGATTCTGTTTTACTTCAGGATCAAACTATACATCGGAATAAATAAATAAATATGTATTCCATCATCCCGTTAATTATAGTGATTCTAACATTAACGGGTGGGTATTTTAATAACGGTGTGGTACGAATTGTCCATACTATAATTTTTTTTTTTTTTTTTTTAAAGTGCGGTAGTTTCGCTAAATCTTTATTATGATAAGAATAGATATTTATACATTCATAGATAAACTAAAAACAAAAATAATAACAAATCTCGTCTAAAAACTATATTTTAAAGAAGACCGACCCCAAAAGAATTGTCCATACTATAATAAAGGATATCTGTATTGATCTACAACCTTTTGACGATCATTTGTCAGGATTGTGCCATGCCAGGTTGTCAAGGTACCAGTATGACAAATGGTCAAAATGCCAGGCTGGCTTAATTAATTTTTTACATATATATCGAGCTGGAAATCCTAAACAGCTCAATATCCACGCTCGCCCCTAATATATTTCTTTGAATACATTCCCTTCGCAATCCTCCATTTTACACCTTCGTAATAATTTCAATTTTCGTCGTTTAACTTTATAATTTCGCAAATGTAACATCGTTTATTATTTTATTTTTAATTTCCGATTTATTAGTATTTTATAATTCGATTTTTTATGTAATTGTTTCGTAATTTGCGTAGTCTTAATTAATTAGAATTTAGTATTTGGCATTTATAGAGTTTAAAATATTGATCAAGCGAAAGTGTAGAGCGCCGACGTTGAGGCAACACTGATTAATTTGATATTATTAAATAAATATTTGTCACAATAACTTCATTTTTATTCAATAATTATTCATTAATACCTTCTGCTTACATTACAAAATTGTTTACAAAAGAACTGAATACAACAATATCAAAGATCATTTTGACAATAGATTTTCACTATTTAAATATCATAACTTATCACCTTGTCAGGGATTTGTGTGATTAAAATAAATTTTGTGTTGCGATGTGATCTTATATTCTGAAACATTGAACATGATGTGTTTTCACCTTAAAACAAAAAAAATATATACCAATTCTTTTTTGTTTTGACATTAGCGCGATTTTTTTTTATGCTGCACAAAAGATCTGTCCAATTAGACCTGGAGCATATTTTTAATATGTGGCTTTAATGTGAAAATTTGCATTTATCACAAAATCTGGTGAATACCATAAAATCATCGTCTCATACGTGTACTAATCGTAATAAAAATTATTGAAATTTTAATGAAAATATATAATATTAATTTTAACAAATTTAGTCGTCGTATTTAATACAAGTTTCGATGTCAAACATGATTTTGGAACAAATCATTCAATTTAAGATTACTAGATATTTTTTAAGAGATAAAATGTATAAAATGAGGAAAGCAATATTGTAAGGAAATTGTTATCTGAAAAGAAAAGTAAGTTTAATATTCACAAAAATCATAATAGAGTAAAATACTGCTTAAAAATAATTTAAAGACAATAAGGGAAAGTTAAATGAAACTCCTAATATTTTAACGCGTAATATTTCATCTAATTTTCATTATTAGCCATTAATTGTTTTACTTTAAGTATAAAAGAAAGCGTTTAATCTTAAAGAAAGCTTTCAAATTGTCTATGTAGTACGACTTACAATCAATGATTTCATTATATGAAAGTTTAACATTTCTTACTTCTCATTAAAGAAACCTAAACATTAAGAAAGGTTATGTAGAAAGTTAAAGTTTTAAGAAATAGTTATGAGGCGTTGAGTTTTTTAAAAATTCAGGTTGAATATTCGTTAAAGAGTAGGGAAATTTTGGTAAGCTAATTATTTGATTATATCAAAAAGATCCAAATAACCACAAACAACTTGAATTGTAACTCGGACACTTAAAGCTATTAATTTTTTAATCAATTAATAAATTGGGTTCTAAATAAATATCGGTATCCCTTAAACCTTTTGATAATTGAAACAAATCATGTTAACGTCTCAGTAAATATTATTTTTATATGCAGATATGAGAATTTTCAAGTTTTCTAATATGTAAATTATAGCTAATTACATCACTAATGAGAAAAAAAACCAAGCTTTTGCCGGTTTCAAATTTTCTGCTTAATAAATTGTTTTTTCTTGCCCTGATAGCATAAATAACCTTTTTGACAGAACTGGCTTCATTGCTACTGCTTCAAGTCCATGGATATTTTACGAAAACTGGTCCTACGCTAAATAATAATCATTTACTCTTTCTTATTCACGAGATAATATAGTAATTCGACATTAAGTAATTCTAAATTGTAAATAATCTCGATAACCATTTATTAATATAAAGAAGCATCGTTTGATAAAATTGAAAGTATTCTTTAGTAGCCGATGTCATACTGCCAAGACTCCAGATAAACTCCATGGATGACATATAATGAAATTATATGTTATGAACATTTTCAATAAATTACTCTCACGTTCCATCGTATTTTCCAATTTGTTACTGTGCTATTCATATGTTTTAGAAGGATTTCAAATATGTATCATTAATTTATTTAAAAACTAGATCATATTTATCCTTGTGACAGTTTTGCTTTTCAATTGACAAATAACACGAAACTTTGACAAGTCTCCATTATTTCCACTTGTTCGCCACTTGGTTGTATAGTAGTCATAAAAATGCTAATTCTTTAGTATACATAAATAAAAACATAATCATCGCAGTAAAAAAAATAATAATAAAATTTTCACCAGATGTCCAAGTAATTTCTCAATATAATAATTGATATTTTTCCTCTAAATTATTAGTGCCTTTAGCTAATTAAATATATTTTCGTTATCCAAATGAGAATTTTTTCATTGTAAAAATTATATTCTGATAATTTCGACCTTGCTTTACAAATTCCTCAATGTTTCCTTTAACGATGTCATCAACAATTTATCCAGTATTGAAATTAAAAGTGCTTTGGAGGTATCAGTACAGAAAAAAAGTGTGAAATCTAAAATTT